CTAAAATTATATATATACATATATATATATATATATATACGTAAATTAAAACGTCCTTCCAAAGCAGACGATGAGATTTCAATTCCGGCTGCCGACGGCTTTTTACGGGCGACCCCCCAAACAACCTCTATTTCTTTCTTTTTGTGCCGACAAGCCTTGACGTATATGCTTGCACTAGGCACTCGACTGGCTCATGTTTAGTCTTTCTTATAGCATTGACTTTAGCTACTCATATAATTCAGAAGCTAAGAGTATGTCTCAATACAAAAAAATTATGGAATGTTAGGTATTTATAAATCTGAAAGCTCTAAATAATTTCTCTTTCCTTTCTTTATGTACTTGAATACTTTCTAGCTCTGCTTTTGCGAAGGGTTTAGTTGTGTCGTATGTACTAATTCATCTTAGAAATCCAATCGGTTTAATCTAATCACCTCTTTTGTTGCTCCACCTTTCGAATTATGCTAGCAGTCTCATATAGGGATCAATATTTCTCTTGACAATCTTAGATCTAATATCCTTTCATTTGCAGTAAGTGTGGAAGATGTTTTGAATCAAGAACCAAGTTGTGGCTTTAATGGCAATCATAGTTAAGGAACATAAATAATATATTATTTCTTGTCAGCTCCATGAGATGGAGGATTGTCCTGTCTGATGATTTATATTATATTTGAGCACTTCCCTTAAGTTGCTCCTCTCCTTCAGGAATTGCTTGTGCCATTTAGAAACTACATGTGCAGTTTAGCACGCTTTAATCTCTCCGTGTCATTTGAGAACGATGCTTACTGCCTATTGGAAGATTGTACTATAAAACCCTACATAGGAGACTAGCCAAGTTTGTGGCTAAGCCAAATCTATTTGTATTGCTAAAGTTTAAGATATTAGTCCTTGATTCCTACTAGGGCAAGTCAGATCCAATTAGCCATGTGGCTTTTTTTTTGAGCCCACCATCTTCCTTTTGGCAGTTTGTAATGTTGTGAAATGTATTTTGCTTTTTACCAGTTTCAAGAAAGGACTACTACGATGATTCTTGTGCCTTTTGCTCAAAGCATTATTTTTTTCATTGAATTTAAGAGGCATTTTGTCACCTGGTTTGTGAGCATGTATAGGTTGTTTATGAAATCACATGCCATTTGGAACATGAAGCAGGTGATGATTGCTTTGCTTGATAGTTTTTCACATACTTGTAAAGCCAGAGGTTGGATGTTTAGGATTCGTATGCACTTGTTGCTTAAAGAGTGCTTGTTTAGGGACTTCGTGAAGGTTGTTTTGCTATGCCCAGGCATAAATTAGATGAAGTCTTTGGCCGTGTTATTTGTACTTGCTAATATTTGTAAACATATTGAAGAGATTTGAGTGATCTCTACTCAAGAGTCTTACACCCCAAAGCCCAAGGAGTTTCGCTAAGTTCTCACAACACACGTAATTTGGTGTGTCATTGCCGCAATTAATTAACCTAGAAATTGCTCTTCTACCAAGGTCGGCATCTTGAGAAACTCGAAAATGAAATTACTCCTTTTGTCTTTAAGAAAGAGAGGGCATTTTTTGAGCCAACTATTTGTTTGACATTTCACTATCAGTCTTAATGGCTAAATTAGTTGTTACTATTCCCAATAAAGAGTAATTTAGATGGCCACCATTTATGAGAACAACATCAATTGTTTGTGACCCAAACAAATATTACATCTCCTATAAGGACCATATTTATGATACAAATTAAGCATAAAACATTAATTTCTAATTTTTGTAAAGTTCAAATTGATGCACAATGTATTTTTTCAACGCTCCTTTGTATTAAAATTATCATATCACCTTCAAGAAAAAAAATGTAACAAAAAAATGTAAAAGAATCAGTTAATAATTATACATAGAGATTTCTAAATGACATGATGATAACTATGAAATTAGTTTTATCATTGCCACAATCAGGTGTATTAAAATTAATTAATAGGCAGGGCTCAGTTCTTACAACGCACACAATTACATGTATCATTGGCACAATTAATTAACCGAGAAATTACTCTTCTACCAAGGTTAACATCTTGAGAAACATGAAAAAGAAATTACTCCTTATGACTTTAAGAAAGAGAGGGCATCTTTTTAGCCAAACTATTTGTTTGATATTTCACTATTAGTCTTAATGGCTAAGGTACTTGCTGCTATTCTCAACAAAGAGTTCTTTAGATGATCGCCACTGGTGAGAACAAAATCAATTGTTTGTGGCCCAAACAAATATTGCATTTCCTATAAGGACCATATTTATGATACAACTTAAGCATAAAACATCATTGCTAATTTTTGTAAAGTTCGGATTGATGCACCATGTAATTTTCAATGCTTTGCTGTATTAAAATTATCATATCACATTTAAAAAAAAAGATGTAACAAAAAAAAAATGTAAATGATTCAGTTAATAATTATACATAGAGATTTTTTATCCGACATGATTATAAATATGAAAATTTTGATTTATAACCTTTCTTTCATCCAGGTCTCCTATGTTAGAGATTAATAAAATATAAACCTCCATCAATTGTTTATATTTTCTTATGTTAGATTTGTTTATGTATAAACATTTTGGGATAAGATAATGATTGATTTGATGTAATGTTTGATGAAGTTGACACTTCCATCTTTCATCAATGATACAAAAGTCTTGCTCACACCTTTTCCTTCCCAGATGCACCATCAGTTGTAGTTTTGATTTTGAGCATTACTTTATAAACACAACTTATGTCTGGACGTTTTTCATAGTCGACTATCTAAAACATTTTCCTAATAGGCTCGTAACATTCAAAGCATAAGTCCCACTATTCTAAATTATAGTGTTGAGAATGATCTTATTTTTCTTTCATTATAATCAGCACTAAATTTCGACATATTTCAATTTTCAAAGGCTTGCATTAAATTTTGTTTATACTTGTATATTTTTGTAGAAGTGATACTTAGCCTCATTAATTTTGCACCACTTTTGTACTTCGTCATCATATTAAGAACAAGATCTTGATTATACACAATACCAAATAACTCTTTAGGCTTTTGTAATAGTATTTTTCACTTGATAATTATTATTATAATTTCTTTCAATCTTAAATCATTGCAATAGACTGTACATGATGTTAGGATATATGCATCCTCTTATCCATAAGCATTTGCCCTTCAAGTGCTTAAGTTAAATTCACAACGTAATAAAAAGTTAAATATATAAAAATTAAATGTTTAAAATTACTAAAGAATACAACTTAAATGCTTATCGGTAACCAATTGCACCAGATTTGCTTCTCCTGTTTTTTCAAGTTGTGTATTAATAAGCTTAAAAAGTTTCAATGTAGTCTATGAATATTTAGATGCATCGATTCATTCCAAAAAATACTCCGCCTGATGGCGAATTAAATAAGTTAACTATTGATTTCTCTGTATGATCAACGTACTCATTATACATAAGAATGCTTCCCTTTTTTGTCAAGCATTCTTTATTCTTTTCTTCTTTTTATTTTTTCAAAGTCAGATGAACTCTCGACCCATACTAAGATGGGGAGCTCAAAATTTGATCCATATTGCTCAATGGCTTCTTTCATATATTCAAAACTCTCAAACTTCATTGCCTTTAAATGGACGACAACTTGATATAAACATTTCACTATGTTATGGTTATATACTCTCTTATATAAGTTCTCTTTGGTTCACAGTTGTCTCATTTTTTTTTTTTGGCATCTTTTCGTTCAATTTTTAGTTGCTAGGAATAATCTGTAGGACTTTTCATCTCATGGAGACTTAACACAATGCTAGGTCCATTGATACCTCAATTTCTAAGACTTGACTCTATTGATCTCTTTCCATAGTCCAAGGACATTTAAATATGTGATTCTTTAGTAGTCTCTATTACAAGCTCATTATAATCCATACATCTGCTTTGTTTCAATTTTTTCGTTCCTTCTTCATAAGCATACATGAAATATAGTTGCTCCTAGGATTATTGTGATTTCTTTCAGTTAAATTTCTTATTTTATTAGTTAAAATGTTTTTAAAATTGTGCCTGAACGCTATCTTTTCATTAGCATGTCATTTTTCTGTAATTATGTCTTAAAACCCTATATAAATCAAGAAATTTCTGCTGTGAGGTCCATTTATATTATTTAAGTTATTCTGTTCTGCAGGGGCGAAGAGTGTAGTCTCTACACCTACTAGGGTTGACTCTTTGGATGGTATCTATATTAAAATGGTTTCATTAGGCTCTGAGCACTCAATTGCTGTCACAGGTAAGGTGGAAGAACTTGGCCATGTCCCTTCAGAACCCATTGCATTAGTGCATTTTTTTTTTCCTTTGTACCGATCAGCCTGTTTCCTCTTCATATTAGCTGATGGTAATGTGCTAAGTTGGGGATCTGGTGTCTCTGGGAAACTTGGTCATGGTCATCAATCGAGCATTTTGGGATTCTCATTTAGCTCAAGGTTAATTTGGCGTATCTGCTCCTTAATTATATTAAATTTTGTAGCTATTATCATTTTCAGATTAGTTATCTCATGAAATAGTTCTGAGTTAGTTGAGCATTGATTTATTTCTGCAATACAACTTTGTCAAAATTGTCAGTGCAATTATAAAACATATTCAGCTTTTTCAATGAAAGGCAGAAACTTCCACATTATAGCCAATTTATTGTATTTGTTTTTGTGTGTTATATTCCGGGCTACTTATGTTATATGAATATGAAAATTGGTATAAATCAAAACGTAGCTGAAGGTGTGGTTCCTGTGTCTACGTAAAGTTTTTCCTCGCAACTCCTTATCAATTTGCTTATGTTTTTATTATCACCCTTTCGATTGTTACTAAGTAGTAACTATTATCCTGTTTCCCCTAATATCATTCATAGCACTCTTTTGATGATATCATATTAGGCCGGTTTGTGGGTTTCTTATTGTTTTCAACGTTTGCAGAAAGCTTGTCTTTACTGTTATACTTTCATTTTTATGATATTGAAAACTCATTTTGAATATTTTGGTATTTTTGTTTTGAAAATGTGACACTGTTTCTCATCATACAGAATGAAACTTTATGATCCATTTATGCAGTGAATATATGCCAAGGCTAATCAGGAATTTCGAAGGCCTTAAGGTACACTAATGATCTCTTTTGTGTTCTTTCCTTTCTCTGAGTTTATTTTGCTTGGTATTTTTGTGCTTTGTTTTTTTATTTAAGGATAAATTCATTTATATGTGTTTGCAGATCAAAAAGGTTTCTGCAGGAATG